AGACTGTGCAAATTAAGAATACTATTCAAGAGCAAGAAAATAATTTGTATATAAATATATATTTTTTTGGATAAAATATTATCAATTGGTGTTCGAAGCTCTAATGAGCTCCACTAATCCAGTATGAGGTTTGAGCCTCTTCATCCTGTTCAGTAATTGCAATTCTCAAAAATTGAATCCATTACTTCTTGTCAAGTCAAATTCTTGGATCTAGAGGAGATGCCATTAAACCAACAACTCTGGGATGATTTCAATATAATTTTGTATAAAAAAATGCATCAATGAAAACATTTAGAGAGATAATATATTCCACAAGACTATCGGTTTTTTTACTACAAAATAAAAAGCATCAAATAAAAAATACAGTTAGTAAACTAAAAAAACAAAAATCATTTGATACTTTCTTTATTTAATAGTTAGGGAGATATATTAAGAAGATTTAAAATTATTTTATTTTTCTTCAAATCGCTAAATGATGAAAGTTTCGCAAGATATTAAATACATGCACTTTTTATTGATTAATAAATGGAAAAATTATTTTTCATTTTACGGTATATAATTTTGTATCATTTTAAATAAAATGACATTATTTTAATGCATGGTGATTTTTCATTTTTTCTCGTCCGCTTTCTCTCTCTTCCTAATTTTATGGAGAGGAGAGAATAAAAAATAACTAAATATGCATCAAAATGATATTATTTCAATTAAAATGACACAAAATAATGTATTTCAAAATGACCCCTTGTGGAGCGTTTGGTAGAAGGTTTTTTTTTTATGATTTCCGAGAAACTGAGGGTGATAATCTTATTTATCCACGTTTGATACGAGATTTCTAATTTTTTTTTTTGGAATCTGATTTTCTTGGAATTTTATTTTGTATGTAAAGTTTTCTGAAAATATCATCCAAGAATACCACCCATGTCAAGGAAAAATTTAACACAACCAAATATAGAATTAAGAAAATTAACCCAACATTTTTTGGAATATTTTGGTCTACCAAATAATTTTTTGGTAACATTTCTGAAAAATTCATTTTTTCCTCCATATTCCTGAAAATCATGATTTCTGGATAAATAAAATTTTCTTGTTTACCAAATGCACCTTAATAAATATTGATAAAGTTATTAGAAATATGTTTTAGGAGGATATGGAAAAATTCTACCTTTAATTGATTAATTTAGTTAGAATATACAAGTTATATATACTGTTGCCGTCTGTATTAATTCGGTTAGAATTCCCAAGTACTTAAATAAAAAGTCAATGACCCGCTGTTAATTAAGGGTCTAATGTTTTTTTATAGAAGATAATTTTATTTTTTATACACACAATTAAAAGTGTATAAGGTCTATATTTTTTCTCTTATTTTTTTCTTTACATAGCTTCACATGGGCTCACACATAAAAATGAATTTAAGAAATAATTTTATCTTCTATGACATGAGAAATATTAATTCCATTAATTAATGGAAAAAAGAATTCTCATGTTGTAGGAGAACCCTTTCTCATGTTAATGAAAGTTCGTTTTGTGTGCAATAATTTTTTATGTTTTCTTTCTTTTTTATGTGTGGGCCCCACTATAAAATTGAGTGAGTAAGAAACTTTCCTCATCTCCAATAACATGACTAGAAAATACCTGTATAGTGACAGAATTGCTATGAAAATTCCGTCGCTAATTTCATCCTCGCTATTATTTTCCGTCACAAATTCCTTCGCAAACGATTTTGTAAGGGAATTTGTGACAAAAAGTAGTAGTAACGATAAAATTAACGACGGAATTTCCATTACAATTCCGTCGCTATACAGATTTTTTCTAGTAGTGATTGCCCCTTAATTAATATGTACAGAAGTTATTTTGGACTAGGCATTTGGCAGGCCAAAACCTTTATGATCTGACATTGTCTCGTCAAATTGTGTACCTTAATTAGCTAGCAAGAGAAGTCAACAGAAAAGATCAACCTTTTGATTTTTCCTCTGACAAAACTATAGTCTATAGGTATAACTTTCACTATAAATTGAGGCTGTACTCAACCAGAATCATCAAAACCAACATTACCAACATTCAAAACCAGAATCATCAAATCCAACATTACCAACTTCATCAACCTCCAAAATGTATTGCTCAAAGCTCATTCCCTCTTTCCTCTTCTCCCTAACCGTGGTTCTTCTTCTCCAAACATCTTTTGGAGCTGACCCTCTCTTCAGTTTGTGTTCAAATTCTGAAAACTTCACAGCCAACACTCCCTATGAATCAAACTTGAAAACACTCATAAACTCACTTATTTACAAAACCCCTTCAACAGGCTTTGGTGTTGGCTCAGTTGGGCAATACGAAAAGCCACAAGCATATGCACTCGCTCTTTGCCGTGGCGATGTCTCAGCCTCAGAATGCAAAACTTGTGTTATTGAAGCAACAAAAGAAATCCTCAATCTTTGTCCGTACAACAAAGGTGCTATCATATGGTACGACAACTGTTTGTTCAAGTATTTGGACACAGATTTCACTGGCAAGATTGATGAGGCAAACAAGTTCTATTTGTTGAACGTGCAAAACGTGAGTGATCCTAACATGTTCAACAACATGACCAAGGAATTGTTGAGTGTACTTGCTTATAAAGCTTCTGTTGACCCTAAAATGTATGCATCGGGAACACTAATGATTGGAGAATCAGAGAAAGTTTATGGGTTAGCTCAGTGCACAAGAGACCTTACAAGCATGGATTGCAAGAAATGTCTTGATGATGCAATTAGCGAACTTCCAAGTTGTTGTGATGGAAAGCAAGGAGGCAGAGTTGTCGGTGGAAGTTGCAACATCCGATATGAGATTTACCCATTTGTTGCTGAGTAGAACTTACAGATTAAGGATAATTTAAGACTCTGTATGAAAGAGTGATGAGCGTGAAGTTTATATGTTATGTATCTTAATCTCCTTGTGTTTGTAGCATACTTATTGTACTGTCATGCATTATTGTATTGTCTTTTTTCAAATAATAATATGGGGAAGAATCCATTTATGAACTTTTTTTTACAATTTTTTGTAAATTATACTATGTACTCTCGGAAGAACATAGTGTAACCTAGTGTTCTCTCAGAAATACATAGTGTAGTTTTGTAAACAAATTTTTTTTAAATATAACCCTCTCCTCGTAACCTCCCCTCGTAATATTGATTTTACATCTATATATTCTTATGGGAAATCTAGTGTACTCCTGGGAGTACATAGTGTAGTTTTGTAAACAAAAAATTTGTAAATATAACCCTCCTCTCGTACTATTGTTTTGACATCTATATATTCTTATGGGTTTTATTATTCTCATGTTACATAAGAAAAAATATATGTTCTACACACACAAATTCAAGATGAGTCTCACTCTACTTTTTCTCTCTTTTTCCTTAAAAGTGGACTCCATTATACAAATAAATCAGTACAAAATAATTATTATCTTCTACTACATGAGAAAATTATTACCCTATTCTTATATATGCTTATAATTTTTGAAAAAAATTTCAAACCACTCTTTGTTTCCGTGCGATATTAATAGCTCGTGTTAACCCGGGCCAAAATTAACTTGTTCTGAAGCGGGCCGGCTTGAATTGACAAACAAATAAAGAGTGGGCTACTTCTCCTTTGACCGAAAGCTGTTGGCTTTCTATGTGTCCCGTTCGATCCCTTTATTAGTTTTATTCAGTGTTATTAAAATCGGACCGATCCGGTCGGGTCAATTCGGGAACAGATAAATCGGTTCAGTTGAAACAACGGATCGGCCATGCATCAGAATCGGTGTGACCCGATCCGACCCAGCCAGTTTTCATGAAAATCGGTGACCCGGTCGGTTAACCGATGACCTGGTCCGGTCCCAAAAAAAATAAATTTAAATTATATATTTTTTCAAAAAAAAATCATAATAGATATATTTGAATATTTTTTTGCTTATTGACTTACATAAGTTATGTACCTACAACACTAATATTATCTCAATTATGCACTATCTAGAAAATTTTGGATTGATTTATAGTTAGAGATGTCGTTTTCTGAACCTAAAGCCTCGTATCAAGATTATTATATTTTTATTTGATCCTTTATTGGATAATAATATGGGATTTATTATTTTTTATATTAAATATTTGAAATTTTTATCATTTTTTATAGATATTTGAGTATGTTTATAATTTTATAATATAAATTATAAAATTACATATAATTACCGGGTCATGCGGTTGAACAAGTGACCCACTGATTGAACCAGTGATCCAGTGACCGAGTATCTCGACTGAGTTAATGACCGTGCCGGTTTTAATAACATTGGTTTTATTTGTTTTAGGCTTGCCGCAAGTTATTTTGCACTACAAAAATAAAAGCAACTGTGAAGTGTGTGCAAATTAAGAATAATATTCAAGAGCAAGAAAATAATTTGTATATTAAAAAAAATTTGAATAAAAAAAAGATGCATGAATGAAAAAAATATAGAGATATTATATTCAACAACACCTAAATACAAGACAATCAGTTTTTTTTTACTACCAAAGAAAAAAAGTGTCAAATAACAAATACAGTCAGTATATTAAAAAAACAAAAATCATTTTATACTTTCTTGATTTATTAGTTAGGAAGATATATTAAGAAGATTTCAAATTATTCTTACTTTCTTCAAATCACTGAATGAAGAAAGTTTCGCAAGATATTAAATACATGCAATTTTTAATTTAATAAATATTTGATAAAGTTATTAGAAATATGTTTTAGGAGCACGTTCCTTAATGTCTCTATTAATTAATACATACAGAACCTCTACGAGTGATGATATGACATTGTCTCGTCAAATTGTGTACTTAATAATTAGCTAGCAACAAAAGACAACAGAAAAGGTCAACCTTCTGATTTTTTCTCCCATACAAAACTATAGGTATATTTTTCACTATAAATTGAGGCAGTACTCAACCACAATCATCAAAACCAACATTCAAAACCAGAATAATCAAATCCAAACTTCATCAACCTCCAAGATGTCTTGCTCAAAGCTCATTTCCTCTTTTCTCTTCTCTCTAACCTTGGTTCTTCTTCTCCAAACATCTTTTGAAGCTGACCCTCTTTTCCATTCGTGTTCAAGTTCTGAAATTTTCACATCCAACACTCCCTATGAATCAAACTTGAAAACGCTCATAAACTCACTTATTTACAAAACCCCTTCAACAGGCTTTGGTGTTAGCTCAGTTGGCCAATACGAAAGCCAACCAGTGTATGGACTCGCTCTTTGCCGCGTCGATGTCTCACCCACAGAATGCAAAACTTGTGTTATTGAAGCAACCAAAGAAATCCTCAATCTTTGTCCATACAACAAAGGTGCCATCATATGGTACGACAACTGTTTGTTCAAGTATTTGGACACAGATTTCATTAGCAAGATTGATGAGGCAAACAAGTTCTCTCTGTTGAACGTGCAAGACGTGAGTGATCCTAACATGTTCAACTACATGACCAAGGAATTGTTGGGTGTACATCACCAAGTATGGTAAATTTATCAACGATCAAAGTGTTCAAATCTTTGAGTTGATTTTTTTGTTTTTTGTTTTTTTGTAATATGAGTTGATTTAATTTAAATGTGTATAATTTGATTCAATTGTTGATGATTTTGATGCTGTGAATGATATGATCGTTGTGTATTACTTTATAGCTGGATTGAAGTTTATTATTTGATATACGAGTTATTATCAAATAACGTTATATCAAAAGTTAAAGATAATAAAAAGCGATTGAGGGGAGATTATGATGGCCCATTCAAAAAGAAATTTACTGAATAGAAGTGCAAAATTTTATAAACAACAATACCTTTTATTTTTACTGATTTTTTTTGCCTTTTTTGTTCTTTTGGGTTACTAATATTTTCCTCTTTTTTTGTCCTTTGAGTTATCTCAAATTTCAACTACAAGCAATTTGCATAATAGTAAATTAAGAGAAAACGACATATTGATTTTTTGCAAATCTATTTTTATGGGTAGAGTTGTTGTTGATAAATGCCTTGTAATTGAGGATATTTGATAGAAGAATTCTGTGTGCTTACGTGATACCTGAATTTACATTTTTCTTTGTTTATTTCTTTTACATGATATTATATGTGATTATCATATATGACTTTTTTTATCCCTACAAAAACTATATTTGCATGCATCCCTTGTATAAGAATCTTCACCGTTAAATTAGAAATTTAAATAATTAATTATGAGTTTAGGAAATAATTTCATAATTAACCTTAAATAGATATGGTAAGGTTAGAATAATTATCACAAGGGTTTAATATCACTGAAAGTCGCTTTTCTGATGAAAAGTGCAGATACCGCTTCTGCTTCACGGTATAAGTGCGTCCCGGTGAAGTATCCCGAAAAATTATAATAAGTGTATGAATATTCCTAGAATAATATTTAGGACTGATATAACAAGTTTGGAGTCGAAATAACGAGAACTGGCGTCAGAACTGATATCGGCTACGTAAAACGCGTACCGACAAAGTGCTGCGAAAATTATAATAAAAATATGATAAATCCTAAAAAAATGGCTAGGTTCAGAATCTGAAGTTTTAAGTTAAAATGATTAGTGGAGCTATTAGTGCTAATATAGTGAGTTTAAAACTTAAGATGCTTATAAATAGGTGAGGCATAAGTTTCTAGGTCAGAATCCTTATTTCCTACGTGCCTCCATTTCTGAGTTTGATGCTCTTCTACTTGCCACTTACTTTCCTTGGAGAAAACTCAACAAAGACTCGTCCTTTCTCTTTGATTCTTCCTCCAAATATGGTAAACACTTGGATGTGTGCTTGGTGAGGGAGAAATTTGTCACCTTCTGAGTTGTGGTTGCTGTGTGTGGGGTATGGGGGACTGCCTCTGAGTTTGGGGGAGTGTTTGAGTTTTTAAAACCACCATTGAAGCTCCAAGGAGTGAACTTTGTGAAGAAAAGACCAAACTTAAGTGCCATTTTCGTGGCCTTGTGAAGTCAGAACCTTGGGACTGACTTGAGGACTCCAAGAGCACATTTGGTTTCTGTTTTGAGCCTTTGGGGTATGTTCCCCACCTTTGATCATGAGTTTACTTGTTAAAGATCAAGTCTTGGCATGAAAAATGATAGGATTAAGTAACATGCTATAGCCAACACGAACATTGACTTAAATGTGTATAAAAATGCATGCTTGGACGTTCTAAGGTGTTAAAAACTGAGTCTTGTAAGGATATTTTCGCGAAATGCAGAAACTGCATTCTGTCGTGAAATATCCGGATATTGATATCCGGATATGGGGTTTGTGATATCCGGATATGATATCTGGATATTCCCCCGACAAATATCCGGATATTCTGAAAATTTCGAAGTTGTGCACTGTTCTGTCCAATCAGAAGTGTAGATTGGATTTCTGGACACATGATTGGTTAATGTGAACCTCTGTAATGAGTTAATTAAGTCAGCATCACCTAGATTAAGGCTTATGGCTTTGGGAGAAGCCTAATGGCATGAAACAAAAGGAAACGTTGTCATAATTAAATGAACTTCTAGATTATATATGTTGATAAGATTTCTGGTCTAAACAGATTGTAATTTTGTTGTTTGGTGACCTTGGGCTAGTGTGGACTTTGGCTTGAGATTGTTAGCTTGCGAGGTAAGCTTTCGTGTCCTCAATTTTGCCCATTGTTGGTTCCACCATACCTCATGGAGGGATGATTTATATGTATGATGTGTTTTTATGAAATTATGTGATGAATACTGAAATGCTTATGAGCTGTTTTATTAAGTACAAGTGCCTTATAATATGTATGTGGTGTACCACCTAGACGGTAATCCGGAGTATGCAGAGACATACAAGATGGCAACTCTGTGGGTGAGGTACAAGCAGCGTTCCTTGTACTGTAGGTTGTAGACGTATGTAATCCCTACATTTTTATTCTCTGACCAGTAGAATTCTTACACACATGACATGGATATATGTTGCATTGCACATATTTTGGAAATGATATTATTATACTGCTTTGGAACTTATATTGCACATATAAGTGAGTTTGAGGTGGAGAGATCCTTGAGGACCCCTTGTCTTACTGAGATTTTTTTTAGAGATCTCACCCCGTGTTGGGGCACATTTTCAGGTACAGATACCTCGGGGGTTGATACCTCTAGCGGCAGGAGGCCGGAATTGAGTTGAATTGATATGCATGTTATTGAGCTGATATGTTAGAGATTGCCATGCTTTATTTTCAGTATATTGCTATTTGAGTTGAGACTTTGTTGGGCTTTGTTGCCTTATTTGGTGAGCATGGGGGTTGTCCATGCCACATTGATATCAGTTATGTTTGCTTACACTTAAGTTGTATAATGTATCAGGATATTGTTTGATCTATGTGTTGTAGCTCCGTGACTAGATACACATATATTATATTATGAAGTTATTCAGTAGTTATTCATTGCAATTTACATACAGGCATTATTTTGGAAAAGGAATAAGTAATCCACTTGGTTAAATAATGATGATGTCATAATTGAAATTTAGCTTCCGCATTTATTTGAGCTGCGCTTAATACTGTAGTATGATAACAATCCAGGTATACCCGGGGTGTTACACCTTGCATAACAATTTCTTACATGTGTTTGAGTATTTTTTTATATATAGATTTTTTTTTGTATAAAATATAGGTTTTCATGTACTCACCCGAGTCAAGCAATTCAACCAATGATCCACCGGCTGAACCGAGTCAATAAACGGATCTGGTCTGATAATATTGGTTCTGTCCATTTTATTTGTTTTCAAAACTGAAATGCAATATGTTGTATAAACCCGACCAAAATAAAATGTAGAATACAATTAAGATGACACTTTATTGCATTATTATGATTCTTCTATAGGTGCATCAATTAATGTTGTCACAATATATAATTGTTTTACTTTTGCGAAGCGATCTGAAATTGGAGAAGCCCCCATAGACTCCGCACCTTTGTTTGGATGCTTTTTCATTGGTGTTTGCATACAAGAGATTTTACTGCTAAATGGGGTGGCTCCCGTTGTGCCAATCTTGCAGTAACGAAGTGGAGAGTATTGTTCATGTGTTCCGTGATTGTAAAAAGGTTGTTCCCATTTGGAATATATGGTTTTCGGGAAGTATTCGGACATACTTTCTTTCTTTACCTCTTGAGGAATGGATTCACAAAGATCTTAGTAAAGGATGGTCTCATCAACAGGTGCTTGATTGGAGGGATATTTTCATTACGACCACGTGGTTTCTTTGGAGATGGAGAAACAATAAAGTCCATGAACCATCATACACTAGACCTGATAATCCAATTTTTGTAATCACTACATATATAGGTGAAATTAAAGTTAGCATGAGTTCGCAGAACCAGGTTCAGTGTATTAGACCAATCACAGGTCAAGATAGATGGATTGCCCCTCCACAAGGATGGTGGAAAATCAATATTGATGCTGTTGTGAGGAAAAGCCCAAACTTATTAGCTGCTTGTGGGAGTCTTATAAAAAATGAACATGGTAACTGGTTTGCTGGTTTTTTGTATAACATTGGGATATGTCATCTTTACATTGGTGAGCTATGGGTGATATTTAGGTCGTGTTTGGTACTAGGATTATTGTGAAAAGCCTGGGAAAGTGATTTTGGATAAATTGGAATGCCATGTTTAGTAACCCAAAAATGAAAATTATCTCGAGAATTTTTTTCTCCAGGCTTTCATCATACTGTGTAAATCATGCCCTAGATTCCAGCGCTCAAATACCACACATTTGTTGGTATTGTTCCTTTTTCAGGTAAATGAAAAATTAGATGTGAACATTCTGACTAAATTAACCCTAAACGTTGAAAAATGTAACCCTCATTTTCTTTATGAAACAATGGAGTCTTGATTTACACCCACGTTCTCTGATGAAAATACACGTCTAGTGACACGAGCTATCGAACTCGCGCAAATTAAAAATTATTTTTTTATTAGGGTTCAGAAAATTTGTAGTAGAGTGGAAACCCTAAGTCGTCTCTCTAGGAAATTGCTTGGGTAAAAATCGTTTGTCAAAACAGAAATTAAAAGGGGGTTTTTGAATTTTGGTTGAATAATTTAAAAGGCAGAATATGAAATTGGATTTAAAATTCGTAATTAAAAATAACCAACCTAAGGTTTGGGTTCCATGGATGTCTTTCCTCGGATAAGAAGATATCAGAATCGTAATTGATTTGTCAATCAAATCAGAATCCTTATTTTCAATTGACAACCCTCTCTAAGCGATCGCTTAGCATTTGATCAAATATGGTGCTTCTACTCATACAATCGCAGAGTATCAGCCCGCTTGATTTAAGGTCATAGGGTCAATCAACCTAATCATCAAATCTGATGATTAATCCCTTTCCATAATCGCAATCGCGAACCTCAGATTGAATATCCACGATCGCACGATATCAATCTGAGTTGGGAAGGGAAACAAGACTGATTTAAAATAAAGCGCAGACCCTCAAGACCAATCCATGGAATCCGTTACCCTTAGGTTGATTAAAAGGTTCTTAGCCTCGCATGGCTAAGGTAAACATAAAAAGAAGAGAAAGAAAAAGATGAAGAACATAATTGAATAAAAACTCAGAGAGAACTTTTCTGTTGTACAAAACTGACTGCTGAAGGGTTTCCTAGAGTCTCCCTTAAATAGTCGTCACGCAGGATGGCTAGGGTTTCACTGCTTCAGCCCAAACATAAAATAAATGCTAAATAAAATAAAATAAAACAATAAAACATGGCCTTGGGCCCTAAACACATTGGGTCCTAATGTGAATTACAAGTT